AAACATACACGTCGAACCCCCCCAGACGATTTAAATCCCTGACGAAACATACACGTCGAACCACGGCAACGGGTTAAGGAAGAACAAATAAGTGTGGCATGATTTAATTCATGATAGAGTAGGTTTCTAAAAACAGGGAGTTGGTTGATTGCAATGTCTTATGAGCAATTCTGCATATAAAATGTTCTAAAACGTCTCTGTATAACACAGTCTGTCAATAATGCAACAAATTGTTCATTTTTCTTCCACTTGCACTTTTAACACATGTTTCGGCCCCAGATGGCCATCTTCAGGTGTCTTAATATATCAAAACTGCTACACTGCACTGCTATATGCACTAATATCACATGCTATAGTCCACTATAGCAGTTTTGATATATTAAGACACCTGAAGATGGTCATCTGGGGCCGAAACATGATGTGTTAAAAGTGTAAGTGGAAGAAAAAGGAGCAATTTGTTGCATTAATGACAGACTCTGTTATACATAGATGTTTTAATATGGCTTGCAACAGGAAGCTTAAATATGGAATTATAAAATGTTCTGTTCAATTTCAGGCTGCCATTCAACCAATTGGCAAGTTCATTCCACCTGATGATGTTGCACTGCCATCTTCTTCTGGGGCTGACTTGAACAATGTGGATCTGTGATGTCATGATCAACATTCTGATAGCTTTGGAGCGTGAACTTACAATGATACTTCTTCACAGCTGTTGCAGAAAACTGGAACCAGCATTACATAGCAATGATGTAATGGGTCAGAATTCATTACTGTCAGTTCATACAGGTAGCAGTACCTTCGGCCATTGTCATAAATCAGTGTGCTTAAGCATCTGCCTTCATTATTTTAGTAACCCAACCATTTGCATGAAGTCAGTCTTTCACCAACTGCTGATTTAAGGTCCATTTTATACATTTCAATATCTGCACCATGTCCAGGTCTTCCATGCACTTTGTGGACAAGAAAATTTACACTTTTCTGGTACATGTCGGTGCCATTACCAATTTTCACTGATTTAACAGAACACAGTTTCTTCATTGTTGTGTCCTTGTAGGGTATGAACATAACATCTTCTCTTGAAGAATTGGTGGAGGTTTCATTGCCAGTAGATGAAGAAGAGGAAGCCAGTTAATAATATCCTCATTCTGTCAAATCTTATTACATTTAATTTTATTGGTTTCTTGCAGATTTCATTTTGGTGTTTATATTACATATTTTGTTTTATCAGTTTCTAATGGACTGTTGATAATAATTGGTGGCAAGACTTGGAAGAGGCTAGCAGGCTAGGAAAAACACATTGCTGCTGAAGCTGAATAGGAAGAAGTTGGTGATGAAGTTTCTCTTAAGTTTGTTAGGAGCATGATACATGTTATAACTGATGGTTCCACGTTTTTCCTGCTTCTTTTCTGTAACTTCAGTCATATCTATTGTCTTGTATGGCAGAAAGAAATGTTAGTTTTATCCAGATTTAATTAAGAGGACATACAGTTTTAATGGTCTCAAAATTCTGGAGAGAAATGCGCCAACAGGATCTGGCATGGTGATATTGAATGCTGGTACATTTATTTTAAATATTTAATTAACTTGTCAGTGGTGTGACAGAAGAAAGCCAAACCAGTGGTACGATAGGGTATGAGACACTCCAAACAGTGTTTTACAATTCATTTATGTACAGTTGCAGTTTGAATGACGTAGAAGATTGAATACAGAGAAGTCAAATAAGATATTACAACTTATGTTGACGTTTGAATTTGTCTGTTATTTTTACATCGTCCTAGACACCTGAATAATGTATTGTCAACGCTAATTATACATGGATCCTCCACACATCTTCTAAGCACAAACCAATATTGCATCTGTGGCAGGTGTACCTAGATTTGTTATTTTTATTTTTTCTTGTAGAAAGTACAACCAGTGAGGCAAAATTATTTTTCTTGTCATCTTGGCTCTTGCTGTGGTATCAGTCGATTCCCATTTCACTTTCAGGGGAAGCATACTTTTCAATGGCTGCTTTTAATTAATGTGTCTCTTCAGAAGTTACAGTGATTCCAGGTATCAGTGGTATGTGCTTCATATCAGTGTTATGGATGATCTCTGCAGTAACTTCTGCTACATTCTTCAGATTGAAGAAGACTGTCAGAAAGTGTCTGCTGCTCCTTGACACATCTCAGATTACTGACAGTGTGTCCACTACATGAGCATAACAAACAAAAAAATATTAAAAAAACTCCTTAGCTTTAGTCTGCAAGCAAACTGTACTGACCAGGCATCTGCAGCTTGTTGGCAAAGTTAGTGCAAACTTTAGTGGACAGAATGTGTTGCATGGTCAGTGCAACGAATCCCCATGGGCATTAATTTCAGTTTTCTAGATCGGAGCCACTACTTTTCCATTCAAATATCTCCTCAATTATTCTCATGAGGCTGAGTGGACCCAGTTCCATATCCACTACTTCTCAGAAAATCTGGTAGCACCAGGAATTGAAACCGGGACCTCTGGATCTGTATCCAGGAACTCTGACCACTAGACCACAGAGGTGGTCCACATCAGCATATCATTAATCATATTTGTAAAATGTAGAGTAGTTTCTGGGATGTGACGCCGTGTAGTCTGGTAACTTTTTACTGACATTTGTGATAATCCTGCTGTCACCATATTCAGGATACCACCTTGGTAACCTCAAATCTTGACATCGTAAAACATATTTCATTCCATGTTTCGCCTTCTCCTCAGGTGATACATCTGTTTTCGCATCATGGTGCATTATCAGTAATTAAAGCACAACTTTCCTTTTCAAGGGTAGATATGCTTGAAAATACCACCATTCCATTGATACATAACAGAGGGACTTCCCTCTTATTACATTGCAGTGTTCCAGTCAGTGTGAGTTTGTGTAACTAAGCAGTGAGATTGTAACAGTAAACCACTTCTCAACAGGGTGTACCATCTCCATGTCATGAGTAGAAATAACATCCTCAGCAGATTTTAAAGTGATGGACTGGACATGGACATTATCTAGAAGAAAAAGACCTGGATATATGTAAATGGATATTAAATTATTGAATCAGCGCTCACCACCTGGACACTAATCAGGCACTAATCAGAACTGTATAAAAGAACCTTTAATCAGTGGCTTGGGAATTGAAGAACTGAAGTATTATATTCCCCATTTTTAATATAAATATAACTTTAATTCTGAATTTTATTCATTATTATGAGCTTTCCTGCACCTGAAGAAAAGCATGGTCATATAGAATGGTCCCATATTCACTGATGATGCAGAGACGACTGATGTCACGTATTATTGCATACTCAGATACTTCCTTATTTCCTTCTCTGTTGGCCACTTTAGAGTTACCTTCAGATTTACTTTTTAAGTGTGTAATAAATACTGAATTCGCAAGTTACAGAGTAAAGTATAAAATAACCAGTGAGTAGTAAGATACCTCATTAAATTTGAGCATTTTTATTGTGTTTTTCGAATTCTATGAAATTAATACTTTCTGCATCTACTGTAGTATTTTTTATTTATATATATAGCATTCCACCAAATCTGTCATATTTTTGGAGGATTGGTGAATTGATGAAGTTTATTTTCTGTACCATTATTATAGTATGCCATTTAATGAAATATTTAGACCCAGTGCCACATATTTTATGTGTATTTACTCTTTCTTCATTTGGTTGTGTGATTTTAACTTACGTGTGGATTGGATTTATTGGGCATTCACACATGCACACACACGCGTGCACAGATATATATATATATTTATATAGATATCAGATGTGAGCAAGAATGACTTTTTCAATTTGAGATAAAAATTTGGAAACATTTTAGAACTGAGACAAGAGAGAATTTTCTCTACTTAACAGTTATTCCACTCTAATCACAATTTGTAACATTGGTCTCTTTGTAAAAATGTACTGAAATGAATTACTTGTCTGTTTTGATATCAGATCCCTTTTCAGTGAAAAATTATAGTCAATCGTGTTGTTTAAAAAATCCATTCTTGGAGCTGGAGACTGAAAAATCAGTTTTCAAGTCGAGCTCTATATGTATAAATACTTCCAGAGAAAGGAAATCTTGTCAATAAATATTTATATACTTTCCTTATGCAGAGGAAAGTGTAAGTATTTACCTGTAAGTAGAAGAAAAATGGACATAAACATTTTCAGTTAATATCATATTGAAATTTTGGCAATTGGACTTCCCATTGTGTTCTGTATATTCTATATTTTCTTCATTAACCGGTTTTCCTTTTCAGTATTTTTTCTTATCTCATATACCATGAGTCAGAGTCTGTTGTGTTCTGAATCCTCTATATGAAGAATGTAAATATTTGTTGTAACCCTGATCATTTTAATTTTGACAGTTCTTTGATAACCTTTCGTTAACTTAATGTGGTTTCACGTATTACTTAATTTGTAAAAAATGGTGTGAGTCTAAATGTGGTGGCTTTACATGCAGTGATATTTATCATCATTTTATAGTAGATATTGGAAAAGTACAATTTTAATATGTTCAGAACAAAAGATCACCATTCTAGGAGTTATCATTTTCGGTATGTTTCATACATCACACTCTTGTTAAAAGTTAGCACTTTCATGGCCAAGAATATTATCTGTCACCCAAACAGGTACACTTATCCAATGTGAATAACATCTTGAATGTGAAGAAAGCAGTCTTGAATGTGTTTCCAAAATGTTGTGCACTTGAGAACACCAGATGGACAAGTCCAAAGGCCCAATAATCCCGAGTGTTATACACCACCATCAGAACCCTTTAGAATCTACATATAGATAGTTGTGCTGCAACGTGTTGAACGTGTACTTGATAAATGTGTGAGGTCTAATAGATCCAATCTGTCACTACAAGTCTGTCTGAGAATCAGGCTTCAAGCCATGGGATTAGTTCCACAAGCATATGGAATGGAATATCAGAATAGTAACTGGTTCATTATTAAGTTAATGGAGATAGGTGAATAAAATTAAGCTTTAGTATTCCTTACAGTCAACTCTTGATTTGCTCTCTTAATTACTCCTTAAAAAAAAAAGGGTATTAAAATTGAAAACTGAATTATGTTCAAAACTAAAAAATCAGGTAGTGAAATGTCTGTACACACAAACTTTCATTAACTGACCCATATCAAAATGTTTCCTAAAAAACGGTGTTTTTTTTTTTCAAAAAGAAAGATGCCTCTACTGAGTTGTGATAAAATGTAGAGGAGGGAAGTATTTACATTTTTTATACAGAAATTCATACAAATGTTAAAAAGGCAGTGTTGAAAAGCCTAGATTATTACCTCATTTGTAGTAAGAGATTCTTGACTTACTTTTATTTTTATGTTTTGTGAAAAGTATGCCAGTGTGTTATACTGATGAAATGAAGCCCACCTTTATGCCATACAGAGTATAATTTGAGTGTTTTCAAATCATAGATAGCTTTACAAGTAAAGAAACAAAATTAAAACAGAAGGATTCTACTTACTTTGAAATATATTCTTAAGCCTGCTTTGAATGACAAACCTTGAGGGATTCAAACTGCCAAAGTTACAAGTATATGCCTCAACTTACCAGATGCTGCTGCTAGTTGTAAAATGAACATATGTAGTGTAACATCACTAGCTGATTGCCCAGTGGTATTCTGTATTACACAAATAAATGTTGTAGTGAAACAGTTTAAAAATGAGGGTGAATGGTTTTCAATTGACCTATTATCAGCAGTTATATTAAGATTTTATTATGTCAGTGTTGATTCATGTGTCTTTAATTTTAATTTTGCTGGAATGAAAGCTACAGATACATATATTTTTAAGATTCTAGGTGGAATCTTCATGTGAATAGCATGATAATGCTGGCACATGCAAGAGTGTATGACTGTATTCTTATGACACTGAGTGTTGGATATCAAAATTATGTAAAATTTCAACAATTCATAAATAGTGTACTGTAGTAAGACATTACAAAAATCATTTTATTAGTTTCTATTCTTCATTTAAGTGTGATTGTAAGATCAGGATAGTTGAACACACTTGTGTGTGTTATAGCTACAGAATATCCTCACATGTTTGGTTTGTTCTCAGATATAGAAGCTATATTTTATAGTCTTGGTGGGTTTAATAAAATCTTGATGAATCATGACATTACATTTGTTATTTGAAATTTGCTAATAAAAATTATTAAGTTCCATATACTTAACTTCTTTTTCAATTTAAAATTTAAATACAGATAGTAGTATATGAAGTTTATTTTGATTCTTTTAATTAAATCTTGATAATCTTTATCATCCAATGATATCTTATGAAGACAGCTTGTTTTTTTGACAATGCCTGCTCTGGAGTTTGATATTTATAAGATGGTACCTTTGTATTATCTGGGTTTAACTCATATATTGCAGTCATATACTTATGTAAATCTGCATAGAAGCAAAGTGTTTCACTACCCATTGTATTGCATTCACATTCATGGTTTCTTTTTCCACCTTTATTATTTTACCGTTTCTCACTGGTGCAATTTTTAGAGTTTTAAGAATTTAAAGTCACATGTAAATGTATGATTTTATATATCAGCTGAAAGACTGCAGCTGCTTTTCTTTGTCAGGCACAAATTATATCACAACTTTTTATTCCATTCTTGGAATTAAAGTACTCCAAAAGGCCGCACCATAGATCAAGTGGTTAGTTAGTTGCTGGCTTCCCACTGCAGTGGCCCGGGTTCAATCCCGGGTGTGGTCAAGTGGGATATATGGTGGGCAAAGTGGCGCTGAGGCAGGTTTCCTCCGAGTACTTCGGTTTCCCCTGCCAATTTTCATTCCACCAAATTGTCTATCATCGTAATCACCCAGGGCAGGTACAATAGGCCAATCAGTGGCCGCTCTGCTGAGTGGACCCAGCTGGACTCCACCCCTCACTAAGCAAATTAATTAGAAGTACTCCAAACAATAGTTTCAGTATGTCTGAATCTAGTTACTGATGTAGTTTATTTGGTTGGTGGAGTGTGTTGACTTCATATATTCTAATCAGGAATTGCATAAGACATTGGACAAGAAAAGGAGAGGTATTTTGTTTATTAGTAAACCATTTAAAATAATGTATTCCTCTAGTGTAGTCATAATATGAAATTCTTTTAATATGAATTCTTAAATTTTTGTGCAAATATGTAACTTTAAAATTCTCTAATTTATATTTCAGTATTTATGGCAAACCTTATGTTTTGAAGAATATTTGTATCTAAAATAGATCATAATATTTCTTTTTGCATGAAGTACATGTGGTAGATATATCAAGTTGTGAGATTTTAGGTTCCCATTGTGGTAACTATGAAGATAACTGCCATCTGGGATGTGATTCTGTGAAGTTTGTTAGATAGGTGCTAATGTTTTGGAAATGCCTACTGCTTTCACCTTCAGGGTAGAAGAGTCTGGTGCTGTGAAGATGAAGGCAGTAGATTCATCCAAAATGTTGGTACATTTCTGCCAGAATACTGCATCACACCTCAGAAGACTGTAATCTTCATGAATTAAGGTGCATAAAACAGCAGAGGTGGTCTAGCAACTTAGATGACGTTTGTATATTTTAATTTTTCACTTTGTTTACAATACTGTTAAGTTTGTGCAGGGAACAAGTTTTCTTTCCCAAGTGTTGGCTGATGTAACAAAAAGTGTTGTTGAGTTCATTCCTTTGATGAATTTGGTCTTAGGTTGGTACTAGTGTCTGCACATTGTGATCAGTATTTTGAAGTACTGGATCCACATAATTTCTGAATTCCTTGAAAATTGAATGCTGACTTAGCTGCTCCAGTTGTCTGAATATTTTTACATATATAATTGGATGTTTTGTACTTTTAAATTGCATTTAGTATTAAATGTACCGTTTTTTGGGGGAAAGGTTTTGTGTAAAATTAACTGCCATACAGGATGTTTTTCTACATTTGAGATGCAAATAACATGAATTTACAAAGTTTTTGAGTCATAAGCTTCCCCCCTCAGATTTTAATACAAGTTGCAACTTTGTATGAAATAAATAAAGTTGACCTGACCTGTGTGGATATTCAAGTCAAGTTTTAGTTAGTAGTTCATTGTTATCAATACTTGCCAATTTTGTTACACAGTTGACAATTCCTTTTAATTGTTTTTTATTATCTGCATGCTGAGATGCAGATATATCAATGTTAAGAGGAGATGGTTGTTAGTAGTGTTTTAAGTTATTCATATCTGTAATAAAATTATTAATATGTAAGCATTTTCATTCTTAATAATACAGTAATAAAGCACCCAGAGCAGATAATAAGGTAAACAGAACTATGATCTAATTCAGAATGTATTTTATTTAGCAGAAACATAGTCTGTATCCATTTAGATAATTCTAAGTTTGAAACATTATTATATTGCAGTATCCTGTTGCACCGTGTAGGTCTAAATTTGTGTTCCATTTCTTACCATCTATGTGTAGCTTGTCTGGGTCTCTTTAATGTATACCACAGCATTTTTTGGCCTAATTGGCCATCATCAGTTGTATAAGTTGTGATGAAGGAATCTGCTGCTCTGCTGTAATGTTGTTCTGCTTTCCTTTCGGACTGTTCTATGTTATTTGGGTTGTCATGCTGTTTCCATGCATGTGTTTGATTTATCTGTAATATATGATGGGTTATATTAGAAGCAGAACAATATTACAGCAAAACAGCAGATTCCTTTATCACAACAATGATGATGGCCAATTAGGCCAAAACATGCAGTGGTATACAATAAAGAGATGAAGGCCATTGAATATTAAATGAAGTTGCACATAGACAACAAGAAGTGAAACACACAGTCAGATTGAAGCATGTTTACTGCTGTCAAATATCATTTTTTAAACAAACGTTCACAGTATCTAATGTATAGTGGACTGTATGAACTGAAAATTAGCACTTCTGTTTTCAGCTAATTTTGAAACTGTGATAGTTGTTTTCTTAACTGAGGATTTCTGAAATATAAATATTAGGTGATGTTAAAAAATGGTTATGGCTGAGTACATCAAAAGAAATACAGAAGATGGAAGAAAATTGATGTTCTCACGGTCAGTAGAATGTGGTGAAAAGGGAACTAATAAATTTATATATGCCTACTGTCTTCTCTCTATAAGGGAGTCTTTAGAAAAGAATTTCTTTCTTCTTTTGGTGCCTTATATATATATATATATTGATGTTATGAAATTATCTTTTAATTGCTAAATTTATGCCACAACAACGATGTGCATTTTTATCCAGATATGTTTTATGTTCACTGTCTTCCTTGCCTGATACTACACCAGTCATCATTATGTTTTCAATGTTGAGGTTTTTGTTTGAAATGTAGATTGAGAAAACTTATAGACTTTAGTACTTCGAGCTGCTTACGGTGTGATTCGTATTTTATGTACATTAAACATGAGAAGAAGGTTAGAGATTCTGAATCAGAGTTTTTTAGTTGGTTGCTTATTTATATGTAGCAAAAGGGTTCAGTGTGGGTATAGTTAACATCCAGATGTTTTGGATTTGAGGTCCTCACAGTGATGGCTATAATACTATGTTTCCCAGTGAAAGTCAACCAACATTTTAGTCCAGAAGATCAAAATCTTCATAGCTACCTTTGTGAGAACCTCAAATCCAAAATAAGCAACATGATATGCAGTCTTCCCTCTTCTGTGAGGCTGAGAGTGGGGGTGTGTGAGAACCATGTACTCAGTTCCTTGGCTGATATTTTTAAAAATGTTTGCCATAGTGAGGTTGTCTGTGCAGTGAATATTTATTTTAATATCACCTTTGGCTTAAGTATTTTCATGAAGTGTGCCATTTCTTGGTATCTGTGCAATGTAAGACTGAGTTAGTTGATGAAGAATTTAGTAAATAGACCTTTGCAAATAGGCAGTCTCCAGATCTGCTCTCACACAGTGATGTCCCTTCAAACATTTATTGATGAATTCAAATGCATTTATACAGGAAAAATAAATTCCACCATATTTATGGAAAGTTCATGTAATTTCTATCCAATTACTGAAGAAGATAATTGGGGAAAGGGACTATATAACTTATAATTTGTATCCATCTTTTGATACCACAAGAATCTGGTTTCTTATGATGACATGATTGGTTCTGGTAAGTCTGCCATATTTTAGAGATTATATGTACTGTACCTTTTAGCATATAGTAGAGTATTCATTTATTGAAGTAGAGAAGGTTGTGCCATAGCTCAGGCAGTTAGATACCAATTTCTCAGCATCTTAGTGTGCATTCTCTCAATAAGAGATTGATGATAGGAATTTGAGGTTATAGACTGTCTGCCATTAACTTGTTGCTATATCATTTGGTAAATCTGGCGTTACTGAATTGTAGTATTATAGGATCTAAACAATGAATTGTCCCCATTGAATTGAAATAAAATATAAATGTTGCAGCCTTATCTTTCGTTTCTCTACTGTTATACAGTTTCCAGAAGAATAAAATATTTTAGCATCCACATTGAGTTTGATTTGTGTGTTTTTTCGGGCACTTATTTCCTTAGAGCACAAAAGTAAAAATTACTATAACTGGGCAAATAATGGCGGTTGAAATAAGGATAACTTTTTAGTTTATCTTGAAATTTATGTAACAACAAGAACAATAACAAATTTTAGCTGCATATNCTGCATATCTAATAGCAGTTCATTTTTTTTTTTTTGTGTGTGTGTGGCATTGATGCACTAGCTATTGAGTAGTCAAAGCAAGGAATGAGGTATGGTTTACTGGATGCTGCTCTGGGTGTCATAGAAGTTTGTATTTATTGTACTCCAAAATAGTACTAGAAGAGATTAGGGTTATGGTTAATGTGTTAAGGATAAATAATTTTATCCTTAAAAATAATTCATCCCTCATGTTTTAAATGTTAGGTTGTGATGTGCAAGTGAATAAATCTTAAAGTTTTTTCATAGAATTTAAGAACTTGCAGAACTTGATGTGTTCATGCTGTACTCATAAATTTAAACTGTAGAATTTACTGTTGTAACAAGTGTGAAATGAAATGTTGCATGTAGAGAGTAATGTTGGTTAATAAAAAAAGGCATTACTTCAATAGGTATTCTTAATTGTTGTACCTTGTGTAGCATGTACAATCCTGGAATAGACACTAATATTATGTGGACAGTTTTTCTCCTCCGTAAATACGAGTATTAGAGTTCAGAGCAGCTGGTATACTTAGAGGAAGAGTAAAGTAAAGGAAATGCCTAGTTTGTTGTATTTGTAGACCATCTGTACTTTCTTCTTCACGTATTCACTTGTTATTTAATTATCGATATACATTAGCCTATTCAATAAAAGGGTAAATTTGTCCCTGTACTTAAGCAATTACGCACTACACCATGCAGGCATTTGTGGAAGTGGATATACAGATCTGGATATTCTTAACCTCTGCGCTAGTTGCAAGTGAGTGGTCAGCTTCACGCCTCGGCCACTATCCCCGGGGGAAGGGACATTGGCACCCACTGGATAGGTTGGATGGGCCACAGAACCGATCTGGACGACGTTGAGTATAAGCAATTTTGCCCCCATTGGGGGCCGTATCTGCACCGTTGTCTACTAAGGGGAGGGGGATACATAGATATGACGGTGATTTCATACGCCTACTTTTGTTTTTTTTTAAATCGAAAAGCAGGCGTGTGAGATCAGCTTGCTGTCTGCATATCCTTTTATTGTTGCTAGGCATCGGATCGGTAAACAGGTTCCCACGGCAGCGAATACACATGAAACAATAGGATTTTTGCACGCCTCATTTTCTATCCGGCCGGTGTCGTATCAAAGGAAATAATGCTACTTGTTCTTCCGAGAATTTATTTCTTTACTTTACCCCTTCTTTTTCCAGGCAGCAATTGATAAGTTCACATATAAACTATTTTTCTTTGAGGGACACAAGATGGCAACGATAATGTAAACCTAAGTTTAGAAACGAAATCTGTTTACATAAGGCATATTAATTTTCTTAGGAAAATTGGCAATTTATATATCTTACACTGGAAAATGATTATTATCCTGTAGCTCGCAAAAATCATATTTCGCAATATCTCGGATTAAAAATAAAAATATCGCGATTGTTTAATAATTTACTCTGTCCTCCAACGACAGCAGCAGTAGTATTTGTCCCACCATCTAACGGTCAGAATGCGAACTATGAAACTGTCACTCGATAGCTCGGTAGGGAGCGACAATGTAATGAATGTGGTTAAATTTTACACCATGATATTGGCAACGCGGAATGTCACTGTCGTAGTACGCGGTCTACGCCGGTCTGCGCGGTAGTTTGGCTGGCCTGTTTCCGCGTAAGGAAAGAAGCAAGTGTAGTTGTTAGTGTTAGTTTTGGTGGCATTGTGTGGTAGATACATTTTGTCATGCAGTTTTAAATATATTTATTCGCTGAAATGGATTCACTAGAGGAAATACAGAACTTTCTGGATGTGGATGCAAGATTTGATTTAAAAACCGCTGCTTTACAGTATGTACTAGGTAAGTACCACTTGTGGAGGGTGTGTGTATTGCAGTGTGATCTCTTTATTAAATGTTAGATTTTCATTTTTTTAATCTGTTTCAGGTTTAACAGGTACAGAGGCAGGTCGATTTTTGTTATTACAACGTCCGTGTTTATTATCATCCTTAATTTCTCTTGCACAAGACAAGTCTGAGAGTATAGCCAAGGATGCATGTTTGGCAATTGTTAATATTTCTGCTGATGAAGCGGGTGCACGAGCACTACTTTCAAATCATGACAGTAAGGGTGATGGACAGGTGAGATTTTAACTTGATATCAGAGAAAGTAACTTTAGGTTTTATACGAATATAACCCATTAATTTTTACACACAATAATACAGTTCCATCAACAATGAAACTATTTTTTTTCTTTTCTTTTCACTTTCCATTTTACAGCATGTTTCTGGCCAACCGGCCATCATCAGGTGTCTTAATTTGCCAAAAACTTTATACTGTATTGAATGTTACACATTCAATTCACATATAACTGCAATATTTCATGATTTTAAATGTTTTAATCACAATCTAGCTAACATTAGTTGAATTACCATATGCTGTAATTTATTTTATGTTAAAATCCATTAAAAATTTTCTTCTTAAACTTTTTGTACAATTCTTTTTTCCATCACTAGAGCATTTGTCCACTTGTCCAGACAATATATTTCAATCCCTTTCCTTGGATATTGAATTGGATACTGGATATTGTAGGGGCCTCTTGTTTTCTATACATGAGCCCCTTGTTGTGGTTAAATTTTGCCTCTTGCTTGTACGTTATTCTCTCCACCAGCATATTGTGTTAACCTCTCTTGTAGTGGATATGCACAAATATATTGCCTGGACAAGTGGACGACACCCTAGTGACCGAAAAAAGAATTTTACAAAGATTTTAAAAGAAAAATATTAATGAATTTTAACAGAAAGTAAATTACAGTATATGGTAATTCAACTAATGTCAGCCAGATTGTGATTACAACATTTAAAATCACGAAATATTGCAGTTACTTGTGAAGTGAATGAGTGACATTCAATAGAGTATAAAAGTTTTGGCAAATTAAGACACCTGATGATGTCCAGTTTGGACTGAAACATGTTGAAACAGGAAAGAATAAAAATACTTGCAATGTTGATGGAACTCTGTTGTTGTGTGTAAAAGTTATAGTAATGCAACAGGATGCTTAAATATAATATAACCCGTTAATATTCCAAGAATTATTTCTCTGTTGTGAGATTTGAAGCTTTCGTGGTGATGGCTGAAGAACTGTTGTCTGAGATGTGATGCCATGTAGTCTAATTGAAGTTTATTGACATTTCTGTGGAACATACTGCCTCCATCTTCAGGTGCTAGTGCAGCTATTTTACGTTTGCGGACATGGGTTCCTATTTCAAAGGGAACCCTGAGTATGCTCCTGAAGTATGGCACCAAACACCTGGGACACCTGTATTTAAACAGCAATTAATTCCTTTGTTTGTGGCTGTATTACTGCCTGATTGAAGGGAGGGATACTGGCTTGCCTCATATGATAGCATGCTACCACGTGATCTGAAAATGAGTTGTTACTATTGCAGTGATGGTAAATGGTACTAGAAAGTGGATTGTGGATGTTCTGTCCATGTTCAAAAATGTTTTTTGTAAAGTCATGTTACTTACTTGATATTGCAATAGGTGCTGGGAATGGTATCCTTCAACTTCTAAACACATTTCTCACTGATGTAACAAATTATGCAATATATTGAAGTTCACTTTCTGTCTTCTTGAAAGTAACATTCCAAAATCTGATCTGTAATGTGTGAATTATTTCCGTAAACTTTTGCTTTTGACTGTCCCATAGAAGAACATTCATATTTACTGAGATATGAGAAATATGGCTGCCATAATCTTCTGCTGGTAATTCATTCATTGAAAAGAGCCCATTGAGTCTACATTGAATTTTCTGTGATGTTTGCTGCTTAAAATACTCATAATTTATTCTCTGTGATTGTTCAGTATTGTGACTGAGTGTGGTTGAACAGTACAAATGCAAAGAAAGCTCACAGTTTGTTTGTCACAAGAAGAAAGTGATTCATGGAAATTAATTGTGCCTTTCTTGTTGCAGTAGGATTCTGTTTATGCTAAGCCAAGACATATATTGTTACATTCCCTGGATCTGAAAGTGTGTAATAAACACAAATGCATAAACAAAAATTCTACACTTTGTTTTTGTTTTTTTTTTGTTGTCTAATTCAAATGTTGGTTAATATTCTCTCATTTTCTCCTTATTGTTACTATATTTTTCAACCTAACTGTCCATCATCAGGTGTACAGGACATCCAAATAAAGCAGCTGGATAACCAACTAAAATTAGAGTCCAAGGCAGCTACGTAAGAAAAGCAGAGCAACATAACAGTGGGCAACAGATTCCTTCGTGACAACATCCTGTACACTTGATGATGGCTAGTTATGGTGAAAGGCAAAGCCAGATCTATGCAGTGTGACAGGATGCTGCAATTTAATATTAAAAATTCTGTATGTACATCTAGCACCCTTTCTAGAGATCTGTAGCTTTATTGAGAGAATTTTACAGCATAGGCTGCACTGTCAATTAGATGAGTGTGGTATACCATGTTGATGTCTTATCCAAGAGAAGTTGTGCCTACTGCGCATAAGCCACAATTGAAAGAAGGTGTGTATATATGGGGACAGTAACACATGTTTGTTATTTGTTTTCTCAGGATACAGATTTATATTACAGTAATGTTGTTGTGGTGATGATCAAGATTATCATGGATCCTGATTCTTCTGTTGCTGATCCTGGATGTATGATACTTTCCAACCTGACTCGCTCTTCTGGAAGCACTGAAAGGATGATTGAGCTAATTAAGAAATGTGGGTTCACTTTGGATCACATTGTATCTGTTTTTACTAACCAACAGTACAACAAAAAGGGAGCCACTCTTCACTATCTTGGCTCAGTGTTCTCCAATCTTAGTCAGTCAGCAACTTTCAGAAGGTGAGTTAAGTATTATTTGCAGTTGGTAGGAAGAAAAATCTTTTAATTCAGTATTGAGATGTGCTTGTTTGGATAGATGTTGGACCAGATTCTGTGATTGCAGTATAGTTTGAAAGTTCAGTTCCTTTCGCCAGCAACTGTAAAACATCAGTACATATGCTCAAGTGACACTGAAAAAATTGCTAGGCCTTTCTTGAGAAGCGTCCATTTGCTCAGCCACTTAAGAATTTCCCAATATTATATCAAATCTGAAGGTTCATCACCATGTTCACAAGAGCACCCAACTGGTTTGTATCCTGAGCCAGCTGAATCCAGTCCACCCTACCCCATCCTATTTCTCTGAGATCCATTTCATTGTTATTTTCCCACCTATGACACTGTCTTGCTAATGGCCGCTTTTCTTCTTGCTTTCCCATGAAAACCCTATATGCATTTCTCTTTGCCCATGCATGCTATATGCCCTGCTCATCTTACCCCCATGTGCTTGATCACTTATTTAGTGAAGAGTACAAATTTTGAAGCTCATCATGATTTTGATACAACAAAATAACAAAATTAGTAACAAAATGTTAATTTTTGTTAAGGTTAATTATAATTAACCACCATTTAGAACCAATAATTAATTATTTGTAACATTGCATTTATGTGGACTTCAGTTCTGAATAAAAAGACTTATGAACAGACTTTTGGAATGTAACCTGTTCGTTGCTTGGGAACGTCCTAGTCCTCACTGAAGTAAAAGTTCATCAACTTTGTATTTAAACAGAACTGTTAAATGTTAATAATCCATAAATCTTATAATTTTAATGAAGCTTTCTATGTAGTGTATATATGAAGAATAGCTGGAATATTTAGTACTTAAAGAGTATTTCATGAAGAAAATATAGGGTCTTCAATTTATGATGCTGTGACCATGCTTGGAAAGTGAGCTGGCCAAGACTGGTTCAAGGAAGCATCCAGCAGGCTTTAGGCTGCAATGGAGCATCGCATAATGAAATCCCTGTAGGTCAGAGATCCATTGTATGATCCTCCTTTGACCAAGCTCCTCTGTATTGTAGCTTCAGAGAGAGGGCTGCCCCTTCTGCTCATCAAGTTTGTTGATCCCCACTCCATAATAACCACTGAGGACTTTACAGAGAATTAGTAGATCTGAACTGCAACCCTTTCCTGCAGCAGTGACTCACCTGCCAATATTTATGTGAGTATACTCACATTACTGTTTTCTGAGAAGTAGTGTGTCTGGAACAGGATCCACTCATCCTCATGAGGATTGCTGAGGAGCTACTTGAGTGGAAAAGTAGCAGCTCCAGTCTAGAAAACCGAGATTAACAGCCGTGGGGATCTGTTGCGCTGACTACATGACACCCTCTATCTGCAAAAGTTGGCACCAACTTTACCGACAAGCGGTGGTTGCTTGGTTGGTATAGTTCGCTCGTGGACTACATGCCACGGAGTTTGTTTTTGTTTTGTACTGACATTACTAAGCTGGTCCTCAATGGTAAGACCAAAATAAAACTAATTTAACAAAATATTAAAAAAAATGTTTTGTTTATAGTTACTTGTTGGATCATGAAAGATGTGTCATTCAGAGACTTCTACCTTACACCGAGTACTTACCCTCACATGTTCGAAGAGGAGGTATTGTGGGCACTTTGAGAAACTGTTGCTTTGACATCGGTAAGTTTCATTCTTACCTCTGGATGGGAATGGAAATCTGCTAAGCGTAACATTTATTTCCTTGATGATACCTTGAAATTACCATATTGGCATTATGAATCTATGTTGAAGTAATTAGAAATAGAAGGTGAATAGAGGTTCTTTTAATGTTGTTTTGATGTTCTCAGAGAATCATGATTGGTTGCTGAGTCCAGAAGTGGACATCTTGCCCCATCTTCTTCTTCCTTTGGCTGGTCCTGAGGAATTCACAGATGATGAAATGGACAAACTCCCTCTAGAATTACAATATTTACCAGAAGATAAGATGCGAGAACCGGATCCTGACATAAGAAAAATGCTGCTGGAAGCTTTAATTCAGGTACTTGGAATCTTGCTGCTGAATATTGTGACTTAATAAAAATTTGGTTTTGTCCCAAAGGTATTTAGGTGTAACTTAACACCATGGTGACCAATTACATGTCCTTCTTTTGTCTGTATGATGTTTTGCCATGTTTACAAAATTTGCAAGAACACATGGTAAGACAGTTCACTTAGTGGCCCGGCAGCCATTTAAAAATCCCCGATGACCTGGCTGTGGAAATTTTTCTAAATGTGACGACTGGAAATGGTTTGCCTTTGTCTCTAAAGGCCCGTCCACATTACCCGTGCTCGTGCGTCAGAAGCTTACTGCTGCTGGAAAATCAGGATCTGTAGCTGACAAAGTGGATTACCAAACTGGCTTGCATACAAAGCCTTTGCATTGTTTCACAACAGATACCAGCTCCAGATCCTGATTTTCTGGCAGCAGTAAGCTTCTGAGGCATGAGCATGGGTAATGTGGATGCACCTTTACTTTCAGCTCTTGTAAATTATTATCTGAATCTTCCAGCCATCTCTCTGTGGGCTTTTTCATTTTTATTCTCTCTTCTGACTTACATTCGAAGGTTTTCTTAGCCACCCTTGTTCATTATATAGTTGGCAAGTTAATCTGTTCATGTACCTTGCAGTGTGAGAGTTTAAAGTAGGCGAGGACTGCTGTCTGGCTAATCCTCACTTGTTATCCACTGGCTTAGGATTTCTTTTTGCCCTTTTGCTGGTGGGCACTCATAACACTGTTAGTGAGATATCAGTGTAATATCACCTATGATAAGCATTACTGTAAGCCTGCATGTTAACTAGTAGAATAATTCACCTTTTGAATCATAATAAAGAAATACAAATTATATTTTTATTGATGTGTTCTTATGGTTGACTTATTTTACATTTTTTTAAAATTCACGGTGTTGTGACTGTATAGAGAGAGCAGAAAAGGTTTATTTTCACTAGTTTTCAAATTCCAAAGATATTCAGACCAGAAGATTGTGTAATTGAATTTGGCAATTTATTTACTACTTGTGTTATTGTTTTCAGTTGTGTGCAAAACGAAGTTCAAGAGAACTAATACGTGACAAAAATATTTATTTGATCCTACGTGAGTTGCACAAGTGGGAGACAGATCGAAGGGTGCTGCTTGCCTGTGAGAATGTCATAGATATCCTAATCAGGTAAGCAGTATACTGAAGTTTATTCATGTATTTTACTACATAAATGGATTGCTCATATTCCAGGTGCCTATGACAGATAGTAAAGAATTGAAAGAAACACTATTATAAATTTAGCCAAAATATTCATGCAATACCTAAATATGTATTGCTTTTCGGTTAGTTTTGTCCAGTAGTTTAAACATTTCTGGTCCTAACAAAATTATTTTTTTTATTCTAACTCTTAATGTACTTAAACCTTTGTTATATTCTGTAACATATTTACATCAAATGCTGTAAAAGTAATAAGTTTTCATCAAAATAAAACATCAGTCATAAAATCTATGGGCAGGGTGGTTAATTTCATGCCTCAGTCTTCATATCACTTTTAGCGGGTTGCTTCAGCACAACATAGTTTGTCACGTGCCTGCAAGATCACACCATACATCATGGGACACTGGGGAATGTCTGAGGATAAGTTTTACTGAAGCCATCTGAATATAATGCCTTGCTGCTTATGCTATGAATTTAGACATGTTGCTGTCCTTTTCAGACTTTGATGGCTAATTATTTGTTGATGTCATCTTTCCTACATATATGCATACGTGAGTGGACTGCTTAAAATAATTAAGGATTTATTTTTAATTTCACAGGAGAAAATAAGGTTTGGTGACTTCTGCAAAGGACTGAATTATGCAGTAAACTGCAGTAGATTTATTTTGTATTGTGTGATACACACTCTGTCTTTGTGATAGCATTGTGTATCTTTTAACAGAAAAAACGACGCACACTGCAGGGTAGAGTTTGCATTAGAGATGTAAACTGCAAAATAATTCCTCCATTTCATTTTTTGGATCTTTATAAAATTAATTAACTTTTTAACTTTAAAATGCATTATTTGTGTTTGATGAAAACATCATTGAAACTGGGAATTGAAGTCATAATCTCTTGAAAACTTTTTTATTTGTATATTTATTTTATGTAAAGGGCTGTTAGGAATCCATACTTTCTACTGTAAATTATAAATTTAATGTTATAACTTATACTACAGCATGACCATGGAATTTTGGAAAGTGAATATTAGGTGGATGGCGCAACAGGAAGTAGGGATCACGTGAACTCTGCAGTCTTGTGAGTGACACCACATACCCCCCCCACTCCTTCCATCAGTGGACAACGCTCTGTAAACACCCCCTCCCCCGCGGTGACGTAACAAAGGAGCAACTGTGTCAGGAACAATTGCTGCGGTGATGTAACAAAGGATCCTGTGGTTACTACACAGCAGTAAATAACTCTAGACAGTGTTGCTAGGCAACCTGTAAACACGGTGTCACGCAACAGCGATACCTATCACGTAACTGTTTTCTATGTTGTCTGTGCCGAGGCTAAATAAGGAGCAGCGAACACTATTCAGTAGTGAGGATTTAGCCAGTTACAAGCAAGTGGGTTACTAGTGAGTAACGATTAACCAGTCAGTTGAATTGTAGCAGTCGCCGAGTCGGGCCGTATCGAGTGCATGGCAGTGACTGCAGGAGAAGTATTTGTGATACTGCTGGTGGCAGTAATTGTGATATTGTAAATTGTATGATTGTGAGAGCGAGTGTTCAATAAATTCGCTGTATTTAATACAGCATGAAGTTATTTGTCGCTCATTATACACCCAACACGTGACAGTATTTTAAGTTGGAACAAAGTAGTAATTGATAGAAGTTGTAATGTTGTTAGTGTTGTTTCTTATTCAGAAAAGCAACATACGGTCTTTTGCTGGTGGCTGGTATTTGAGGAGACCAAAGTGCATTAGTTTTGAATATTTGATGCCCAAGTGGAAAATAGTGATATTTTCCAACATGCACTTAATAATCATATTAGTATTTTGATGCTCATTTACCAGTTTTTGTTGCCTAAATAATCCCAGTACAGATACACTGGTAGCAGAGTGGCTGGAAAATTGATTTGCCATCTACTGAGAATATTTATATCTATACACTTGGTCGTCGACTTACGACTGACTTCTGTTCTGACTGACAGGTTGTCATATTCATTGTCATATGATCTGGTCATATGTCAGCCATATATTTATTAACAGTATTTTTTAACCTTTCTAATCTTCTTATCATCTTTATAATTTATTTTTAAAAACTTTTACATTTTAATCATCTTTTATTTTTCATTTTTTGTGGTCGTAAGTCATATAGGTGATAAGTCGACGACCAAGTGTATAATCTTTTGTTTTAATGGCGGCGATTGTTCAAATTCACAACCTGAATATGTATAACTGCTTGTTGTGAAAAAACTATTACTAATGCTGTTAGCAGAACCACTAATACCAAAGTCTGCCACTCAGTCTTCAGGCAGTTCCTTGTTTTCCCCATTCTCATTACCCTATTTTAATATTATTCTTCCTATCAGTGATCCAGGTGAATGTTTTCTCATAGTTTCCTCATCCCAAGTACATGCCAGACCCATTGTAATGTTCTTAATTTCACTATCCTAGCAATTCTAGGTGATCCATGTAAGTCAATGTACGAGTTGAAGTGTTCTGTTCTATTTAGAATGAATGTTTCTCGTCTATGCTTACCTGTCTTTTAAACCCAGTCCTTTCAGTGGTTATATGATTCAGTGTTGCATTTGCTGAACCTCCTTGTTTGTCAGCACTGTTTTCCTATATGCCAGATGTCTGCTGTAGGTCAGTTTCCTTGATAGGGATTTTTCTGCCTTTAGATTGGCAATTGTCATTGTTCTTGTGTTGCTGTGTAGGACAGAGGATGAAATTGGTGAAGACAACATTCGTGACATTGATGTTCCTCGTGATCTACATGAGAAGTTCCAGAAAATGGATGAAGATTTCATTAAGGACTGAATTTTGTTTTTATTTAACATACTGAATAAAAAATGGACACTGGGAACTTGGCTCATAACTCTCAAACTGAAAGACACACCCAGCCTTCTGTCTGGAGTGTGCCAAGAGTACTTTCCCTGAGATGAAGATTGCTGAAGCATGGAACAAACTGCTTACCTCTGTCCAGTGTAGAGGTCAAGAATGCACCACTCTTGGCCTCCTTGATCCTTTGGGGCTTTTGTTTTTGTAACATTTTGTCCAGTGATAATGTTCATTTTATCCATAGATTTCAATGGGCAGAAGAATTTGAAAGCTATAAATCTGAATTGAATATATGGCCTGAATATGAAATGTAGTTTTGAAGCATTTGTCTGTTAATTTTGAGCCTGAATTGAATTTTATGTAAGAGTGCATTATATTTCCAAGAAGTGACATTCCTCTCAATTTTATTTCTCCATCCCGTCATATGATCAAGAGTGTGCCGTGGCCCAGGTGGTAAGATGCTAGGCTTCTCATTGTGTAGACCTGACTTCATGTGAGATTAATGGTTGTTAAAATGGTACTGGAACAGGTTTTTGGTGAATTTTTTTTCTGTTTTCCTGTGCCAGTCTTCATCCTGCCATTGCTCCTCACTCATTAATTACTGTTTCATGTTGTGTGTGATATCCTGACAAGGTAGCATGTTATGACATCCTTGGTCTGTAAACTGGGGTGCTTTGTTACTGATCTGGCACTTGGCTGGTTACAGGGTAAGAGAGTTAAGGAATATTTTTTGTTATACAGTGAATATTGTAATCTTTGTGATATAAATAAAACACAGGGGAATTGTTGATATATTTATTGCACATATTATTTATACTTAAATTAATGGTTACTAATAAACATAAACATATGGGTGGAAAATGTACATCACCAGTTTATCATTTTGTGCACCCCTTAAATTATAAATGTGTTCTATTTCTTTCCCTAAGTTTTCAGGAAATTAAATATATTCACAACAATAAATTATAGTACATAATTCAAATGTGAAGAAATTCATTATATGCATAGAATTATTCTAAACACTAATTACATACAACTGTAATCAACATTTATCTCACCACATATATGGAACACTGCTAGACAAATACAGGTTACTTCTCATTACCCTCATGTTTTGAGCAGTATACACGTCTGCATCATTTAGCTAGTATGTTACTCCAGTCATGCATGGGACCGAGGACTATCTACATGATAATGAACAGACCTTGCCTAACACTACAGTAAATGTACAAAATGTATTAAATGTAAAGATTTAAAAAAAATAAAAGTATCTCAGAATTGATGAATCGTATTTGTCATGGGCTGATTCCAGAGAAAACCCTTTCTGATTATATACAAAAGACTGCTCACACATTGATAACCTATTATGTAACATACATTCATGCACTGTGTTAACACTTTCGGTTCATTGTTGTGGTAACCGAGAATTTTAGAGCTTGCATTCATCATTACAAACTCTTTATTGTTTGTATGGAGAGAGATAATATATATATACACACTTTTTTACTCACTGTTCTGATTATCTGTTCAGCATGTGACCTTGGTGTTCCACTTTATGGGTTTATGGTACATGACATAAAATATTTATCATCAAGTTCAATAATTTTTGCAGGAAACACTGAGATATGATATATATAATTTAGTAAAAAAATAATTACCGCATCTCGTCAGTACTATTTGGTTTGTAAACTCTATAGAGTTCTCTCAAGACCACCAACGAATGTAAGATTTGAAAGAATATTTGTTTGGATTATACACATCCAATTTATTGTTGTCAGATACTAAACTTTTTAGCTTTTGTAGTGTAATGAGTATTCTGCCAGCCAGTATTTGCCTGCCCCTGTTGTAACAAACTTTTCCCAACTGATCTGCAGTATTAAAGCCATGTAAATGAAATAATGACACTGAGGTTATGATGTGCAGCATTACACATACACTGATTATTATGTGATCTTTGGATCAGGTGCATATAGTTACTGCATAATGGGGAGGTTGTGTCTGTCTTGTCTTTGCATGGATAATCTCTGCAACTAGTGAATGGGCTGTGATAACATCTGGTAAAATGGGTTTCTACACCAAAAAATTGCCAGTTAAATTTGATTCTAATTTGTATTGATGTGATATAATCCCTATTTAACACAAAGCTCAAATCAGAATTGATGTTAACTTTAAAATGGTGCAATGCACAGTGAATTAGTATAACACAAAAAATATAAATTTAATGAAGTTATACGCCATCTATTTTTTTGTATGGTGACTACTTGTCAGAAATGCAAGGAAATATAGTGTTACTGCATTATGTGATTAACATTGCAGATGCTGAGTTTTATATATTTTGAATGAAGATCAGGACAAGACAGATATGTAAGGTAGCAAAGGAACAGTTTTGGGATGTTTATTTGTGGGGAGCTCCTTTCCGCTCTTGATGTAATGAAACTGGTCCTTTTAAAATATACAGCAAAGGATCAGGTATTCAGTTTTTCTTTCCCAGAATGTGAAAACATAGTGGAATGTTTAGTTTCATTAGGAAGGAAGTATGTATGTTCACCAGTGCATTAAAACAATTACCTTAACTCAGGAAGCGCGACAGGCCAGTTTAAAAATTTCACAGATCTGTTACAGTTCATAACTGGGTCTCTCTTGTCACTAGGCATTTATATTTTGTTTATCTTATTTGATATTTTATCTTAATTAGAAGTTTAAGATAGTTGTAGTCATTATGGAACATGAATGAAACATGGAGGAGATACTGGAAGCTCATACCAATGTTTTTTAGAGCTTGTGAGATTTGAGGTTGTCATGGTGGTGACTGTGAAGATGGTGCCATATGGAGTAATTATTTTCTTTCCTGAAGATGGAGGCAGCAGGTTCTCCCAAAACATTGACATCTAACTGCTGAACTATATGGCATTGTATTCTTAAAGACAGTAATTTTCTTAACTATTATTTCTTGAGAGTTATATATCTGTCTTAAGATTTTAATTTCCACAGAGTTTCAGATTTATATTATGGTCTTCTGGATTATGGCATGGTGTAGTCTACCCTGAAGATGGAAACAGTATGCTCTTCTGATATATTGATACCCACCTACTAGCTTATGTGCTAACATAACCCAACAGCTAACAATATGAGCCATGTGCCTGTTTATATTCCCATGTTCTTTTATTTTAACTCCGCAGGCACATTATTAAGCTGATCACAGTGGCTGTGCAGTCTAAAGCACTAACTGTCTTTGCCTGGTTGAACCCTGGGATTGTGGATTTGAATTCCACTCGAGGAATGGGTGTCTATGTGTGTTTATTATGCGTTTGTGGTGTTCTGTGTGTAGGAAGTGGCCTTGTGATGGGCTGATGCCCTGTCCAAGGAGTCCTGCCATCTGTGTATAGGATTAAGAGACTGAAAATGCGGCCACGGTTCAAAGGGCTTTAGTGATATATATATATATATATAGAGAGAGAGAGAGAGAGAGAGATTACTATTCGCTCGCTTGTGAAACATTTTGTGATACATGTTAAGAAAGTATTTTCCTTTCCATTTTATGTGATGAAGTGCCCAGTAATCTGTTGTGTTATTGTGCTATTCAGCATACACACGAGGTTTACACCGGTTGGGAAAGCAGTGTTGTTATTATACGTGCTATTACAAATTATGTTGTGATTGTGACTAGGCGAAGTACAAGATGTTTGAAGAATCCTGTTGTCATGAAAGAAATGTTTTTATGTTCATTTATTTTTGGCTTGTATACTGTATAAACCAGTCTCCTGTGCAGTGGGTACTGAAGCTTCTTTCTCAGGGGTAAAGCAGCCTGGACATTAAGCTAACCACTCACCTCCATCTAGTGCTGAGGTCAAGAATGATGGAGCTGTACCTCTACTTCATATGTCTTCATGGCATGGTGCTTAATTAATTAAGCAAAGGGGCAACTTTGCTTTTACCTTCACATTTTAGCATACTTTCCTATTCTGAAAAATTAAAAGTAGACTTATGAGATCACCTTGCTGCCTGTGTCTGTGGGTCTCCCTAACAAGTGGCAATATGCCTGTAGGTGACTTGGGGTGAGCAGCCGTAAGGAGAGGACAATGTGACATGACGCCTGAAAGCTGAAATAGTGGAACCAGAAGGGATGGCTCGGTAAATATGTTCTCACAGTAACAAATATGTGTGCATGCACATGTGTAACATGTAGTGAAAGGAGTGTAGTGATTAGGATTAGTTCTTCCGAGAACTTTTTGTTTACTGTGTAAAACCTTTTGAAGCAGAAATTGATTTTTTTAGTATGAGTTTCCACTTTGTATAAAGTTTAATGTATTTTCCTGTGAAAATCTTACAGACCTGAAACCAACCTATGCGTTTTATATGCGGTATACTTATATTGAACTGATGATTGTCATGTTTAAGAAACATACACAAACTATTCAGGTTCATTTATTCTGATTTCAAATACTGAGGTTTCAAGATATGTTCATGAATTTTTTAATTGAAATAAGGAAGTTGTACAGACTTCAGGTCAACACTTTAGTTACTGAGAGTTTTGCCTTGGGTGGGGGGGCTTTCCCCATTGTTTAGTATAGACAAAATCAAGGAACTTAGTGCACCTTAGTGTTATACATCACTGTCAGAACTCTTTGGAACTGACTTCAAGTAAACACTAGTAAAACTGATGGTCTTGGTAACATACCTGCATTCCCTGGGTTTGAAGTTCTCATGGTGACTAAGAAAAGTACTGCCTTCTGGGATATGGTAACTTCTAGCAGAATAAATGTCGCCACATCCCAGAAAATAGCAGTAGTCATGTTTGAGTCTGTTTATAAAAAGCTGCATTATGCACTAGCTACTGAAAGTAACATTCTTTACAATGGTTACTTGCTGTCAGGGCATGGTCCAGACATCCAAGCTTTCATATATTGCCTTGAAAGAATCTCTTTATGTATCTTCTGTGTGCATGCCAGCCCTTGATGTAGAGTGAAATTTAGAATGAAAATGTAACACATACTTGTGAACAAACCATAGGTGAGAAGGTAACACAAGGGTCCTGTGAAAGAACCAAACTGATGGTATGACTGTTAGATCAGTATTCCGATAGTGCATGTAAATCAGAAGTAATACATGACTCTCAGCATTTTGCCACATTTGCTGAGGTAATTTTTGCTTCCAAGGTTTGTAGCCAGATTTATACAGGACATTTTCTAGCCTCCTATTGCATTCAAGATTCTCAGTTCTCTATGTAGAGGCTTTATATATCATGATGAAAGCGGTCTGTAGCTGCTGTATGACTATGAAGGACTACGAGCTCTTCGTATTTGTAATCCAGTTATAATATCATAACAAATACCAACATGAAATTCAGAGTACAGAATTAATGAGGTTCATGTAAATAAGTATTCTTCATGAAAATGATAACTGTTGTTTGCGGGTACTCCAGTTCGTGGATTTAGTATTACCTGCAATCAATGTTCACAAAACACTTTCAGCACACTGTGTTACTATAAACCTATGCTGTATCATTATGATCATGTTGCATGCATATTAATAGATCAGTGATGATAGTGGTGCAAGGATTGTTTAAGGCACACTCCTCATTAATTGATGATTGTATTGGGCAGAGAATCTGGATGTCTTCCATCTTATTTGATCTAAAATGTTTCATACATATTAGGAGATATTCTTACAAAAATCCCAGAACACATTACAGTTTTCTCTGTTTCTCTTCTGGCTTATGGTAGATATCCAAGTGAATTCTCTAGACTGCTTCCTATGCAGTTCCTACTGTTTCTTGTCTTTGATGTCAGGAAGTAATCTGGAGGTTCTAGAGTGTTGTAGAAAACTTCTCCAGTTTTGCTTGTAGAATCCATATCGGTCAGATTCCTGGCAACAGTGTCACTCGTTTGAGTTAACTTTACATCTGAAAACAAAGCTGCTATCTCTGCAGACTTTTTGACAGACAGTGCTTCACATGCTGCTGAGGAAGACCCAACATTGCCCTTAATTTTCTGCTGGTTCTTCCCAGTGACATAGGGTGGGACACTGGATAATGAAGATGACTGCATCGATTTACTTCGGGAATGTAGTCCGTCATCACTGCGACATGAAGCTCCCATATAGATGACCCGTCCTCTGGGATCCCTTGCAGAAACAACCAGAACTTTCCTTTGGGGTTTTTGAGAACTTGGCTCTTCATCTTCTGACTTTGAGGTAGTTGTAAAAAGGTCATAATCAAGAGCAAGGTTATCAGAGCTGTAACTTCTTCTCTGTTGAGTACATTTTGTACCTGTGTAGCTATGCTGATAAGACTGCCTTCTTGGTAACAGTTCATAAACATCCATCCTTCGACTTGTCCCATGATCAGCTCTTTTGGAATCCCAGACTGAAGAATACTGTGGATGAACTGAAGGTGGATTTGCGTTCTGTAGGAATTCTAGGTTCTTAGAAGATTTGATTGCATTTATATCTTTCTTTTTAGAACATGCCACTTTATTTTCATTTCTTCTCCAAGCTGTTGTTGGCGATGCAGCTCTCGAGAGGCTTGATTCTGAATCTACAAACCGTCCTTGTTTCAGTCGTTCAGTTACAGAGTTGTTTCTGGGAATTCTGAGAAGGTTAAGTTTGTTATTAGCGGGATGAGAGTCTAGAATTGCCTTCATACAGTGCTTGTGCTGTATGTGGTGATGGCCTCTGTTGCCATTGTGATAACTGAATGCACAGTAGCATTTATCGCTTCCAATGCAGCTGTCTGTGTCGCATCCACATGATGACATTGAGAGATCCTTTGAAAGTGGTCGTGGGTGTTTCTTAGCATCTGCTAGGGAACAGTAACATTTATCAGCCGAAATACACGTACAAGATTCACTATCATAACTACATTCACTGCACGAAAAATAACCGCTAGATGATCTGTTTTGACCTCTTCTGCTAGAGTTAATAGTTGTTGCAGCTCCTGTAGCACTGTTCATCCCGTTGTTACCACACCTCACCATACTGAAGAAGTCAGAGTCTTCGGACGTACTCGTCATGAGAGGAGGCCTGTTTATATAATATTTTGACATGGACCGCCGGCGGCTGGCGCTAGGTTTTCTCTGTAGCCGAAAGCCACCACTGAGAGGACTGACCTTTTTGAAACTTTGTTTTGGCAGTTTAAATGCCTTGGTAGAATATGATGAAGTTGATGTGGATGAACTTTCTAGAGACATAATTTTCTTACTGACCTTTGTACTTCTGATAGAATCTGATGGAAATAGGACCGATGTGAACTCAAAATTGTTGAATCGAGATTTTGTCGGCTTCAGTTTGTTTACCGATCGCCTGAAGACCCTCTTGAGGCCGCTTCCACTGGTCACGAAAGTCCTCTTCCTCTTATAACAGCTGTTCCTGCGTCCCAATTTCTTCTTCTGCCTTCTCATAATGCTCTTACTTCGTTGATATAACTCATCTTTAGTAAGAGTTACTGCTAATTTCATAAGAAACTCTTTGTAAATTGGTTTCAGGTCATTAAACGACATTCCTTCAGCATCTATGATTGCATCTAGGATATCATCCATGCTGTTGAGTCCTTCTTGGAGCTGGAATTCAGTGAAGAGTTCGTTAAAGCCTAGAGGACTGCTTCCTGAGCCCCCACCATTATTTTCATAAGGCACGCCACTGCCTTGCCTTCTGTTGTATCTAGTGAGGGGTCCTCCTGCATTCAAGAAACTTCGACTGCGTGGTATTGCTACCTTGGTCAAAATGTCGCCACCCTCTGGGTTGTCAGTTGATAACTTTATACTGCCATAATTCTGCCGATCTGAGACAGTTCTTCTGACCCCATAATTTACAGGAGCTATGTTGGCAGTTTCTGATGTAGTGTTTCTGGTGTTTTGGGTCCTTAGATCCATACTTCGGGAAGCACTATCATCCCTTTTACATGCACTTTTCACGTTTATTGAGCCAGTAGCGGTAATTTTTTCTGGAGACTTCTTCTGGATTACAAAATCTTCACCTTCACTTGCAGATGAAGCTGAAGATTTCTTGTTTCTCCTTGGAGGTCTTACAGGAACTGGAGGCGGAATTTTTGCCACGGTAGGACCTTTTTTATCCTTAAGATTTTCTTTCATCTCTTCTGGTACAACGGCTACGGGGTGTGTTTTGCTGGGGCTACTCTGGACACTGGCGTTACTAACAACTGACTGACTTTTGCTAGCATCTCCCATTACACTACTGTCACCACCCAAACTCACATAATTAACGCCATTTTGACTTGTCGGTCGATTTTCCTGTATCTTAAAGTTTTTATTTGCATTGTTGTTACTCCTATTCTGCATATTATTCATCAATGCTTGATATAAATTAGCTGCCATAACAATGGCGTCTTCAGAGCTTGCGCATACAAACCCGTGACACTCCAGCTGCTTAGAAACGCCCATTTTTCTCATAACAACTGCAAACATGGGGGAATGATGGTTGTAGGATATTCCAGCACCACCTTTTCGTGTTGTTGACACAATGGTTTTTTCTTCTGTTGGGTTTAACGGTTGAAATAATGCCCCTTTATCAATAGCTTCAGGATCTGCTATTAATGGCAGGAAAGCGTATTCCATGCCTTTGAGACCGCCATCACGGGACCCACGGACACGACACACGAATTTCACAGCTGCCCATACGGCAATTGTGGGAAACGGATTTAATTGTTCAAGTTCACCTTTGTCCTGACCTTTATGATGCACTTTTAAACCACTTGAATTAATTTCTAAAGTACCTCTCATGCTGCAAATGTCACTGCCTAAACGATCATGCTGCGTTTCCATAGCACGGCAATAAGCAAAATATAAATCTTTTAAAGGCTCTTGAAGGCCGTGCAGTGAAGTCACTTTATCTGGTAGGGGGACGGATCCAAGATAGTCCACTGCGAAACTATTGCTGGAGGGTGACTCTGGCGTCGGTGATGACACGTTGCTCGACGGTTGTCTGACTACCATTTCCTTTGTTGTACCCGCGCCTCCAGTTTTTGCAATTTCAGCGAACATTTTCTCTATTCTTGCCTGAACTGTGTTGTTGATTCTCTTCTGCCTCCCTTCTTCATCACCATCGCCGGATCCCACCGCAGGCCGTATCTTCTCTAATCCGATGCTGCTATTGGTGACGCCATAACATGACATTTGGGATCTCGTCTCGTCGAACATGGAATCTATGCGCTGTTTATATGTGGAATACACGCTGACGGACGTTGCGGTATCCCTCTCTAGTTTATCGCCGACACTGCTAGTTTCACCGTGGGTTTCTTCCTGAAGACGAAATCCATAGGAACTGGCATTGCGGCTGGTACGGACACTTAGACCGCTGTGACTGTTCTTTTTGCTAGTTTGAGGTATTATAATGTCTTCTGAAGTGAGCTTTGCGCTGTTCACTCCTTGAAGAACAGGAGTACCATCTTCCCCGTTGCATTTCACCATGGTTGTCAAGATGTGACGTCACTGATTGTTGACCTTCGATGTTCATGTATTCTTCATCTTAGTTCGGTTTTTTTGCACTTTTCTGAAAAGAGAAAGACAGTTATATATTAATTTGCTTCAGACGGTAAATATGGGTCACTTAAGGCGTCTTTCTTATTAGATTGTAAGCAGTTTCAGGTTAACGATTTATACAGCGGTAGAAGCACTGTTGGTAATACGCAGCGAATCTGTGTCTTATGTTTCAGCTTATTAAACTGCTCTTTCTCAACTGAATAGGTTATATAACATCGAATAACAATAAATTTATGAGTGATGAATTTGGAAGTAAGAATTATGTTCTGTTTTAAGGTACTGTAAGAACATTTGATTGGAGGGACCGAGAAAAGCCATGAAACTTAAAGCAGTCGCACGGAATTACTGGGTTTTTGGTCCTTTTCCATCGTCCGGAATTCTAGGTAATAGAGGACACGACGTTTCGGAAACTAGATCTGTTTCCGTTTTCAGGTGAGAAAGGAAGACACCTACTCAGTTGGGCCCTCTTGGTGTCTTCCTTTCTCACCTGAAGACGGAAACAGATCCAGTTTCCGAAACGTCGTGTCTTATATTACCTAGAATTCCGGACAATGGAAAAAGTCCAAAAACCCAGTAATTCTGTGTGTCATCCACCATCGTAAGAACCCTTTAGAATCTACTTAAAGTAATCTGTCTTCAAGCGAAGATCGGGGGCGTGAAGCCGACCACCCGCCTTCGTATAGTGCGTAGGTTAATAATTTGTGGAGCTATGCCCCCACTTCACCATATGTGATCATGGTTTGCTGATTGATTAAGCTTAAGGACGACTTAGGTTTTATTTATTATAGACCTGGGAGAGCCGGTCACGGTAGCCGAGCGGTCTAAGGCATGCACTGTCTTCGCTCGCTTGGAAACCGGAATCGTAGGTTCGAATCCCACTTAGGGCATGGATGTTTAGTTTGTGTGTGTGCGTTTTCCTGTGTTTGTGTACAGGTAGAGGCCTTGCGACGAGCTGATCACCCGCCCAAAGAGTCCTACCGAATGTGTAAGATCTAGAAAAACCGAAGTGAACGGAGAAGGTCATGGAGGTAGGTCTAGGTCCACTGTGGCTGTAGTGCCAAAGAAAAAAAAATAAGACCTGGGAGAAATATTTGGGAATGGCGAATTGGGAAGGACGCGCATCGAAGCGGCCGTATCATGTTATAAGGTACTGTCTCAGAATTCCCCTTGGGGGAACTCGGGGAAACTCAGAAAACCTGTCAGGATAAGAATTTTCCGGGCCGACTATAGGGCAGGAGTGCTAGCCAGTCAACCGCGACTTTCAATGCTCTAGACGTTCAGTTAGCGAACATGCCACATGTTAATATGACTCAGTAACCCCTGATCTTTTCTGTAAACAAAACAGTAATGTGCTTGTTAAGATCTGTACGTTTCAGAGTACTCCAGTGTGTATTTGGTTCTAAACTGTAAAATGACTCCAGAATAAGTCAGGCGTTAAATACCGACCCGTAACCTCCCGAATTGGCATTACGCATTACCGAAAACAAATATAAAGGACGAATTCTGTCTTAACTGTATTCATGCATCGCGTAAGGTACGTTTACCTCTGTAGCGTATACTCGTGTAGTACGGGTCCATCCCGACACAACTTCATATCTGAACCCATTAGTTGTATGTGGCAGCAACATGTCAGCCATATGTGTTCTCTTTGAGACGTATACTGTCGATTGCCAGAATTATGTTTTGTCTTTAATTACTAGGCACACGGTAGCACAGTTGGTTGAGGCACTATGCTACAAGCCGGAAGGTCGCGGCTTCAAGTCCCGATGAGGTCATTGGATTTTTTTTCAGTTGACCTAATCCTTTCAGCCGCACTATGGCGCTGGGGTCGACTCAGTCTCTAACAGAAATGAGTACCAGGAATTAAATAATTTTCCTGGGGGGTAAAGGGCAGCCGAAGCGTAAGGCTGACAACCTTACCGCCATCTATGAGCCGATTGTCTAGATAATGTGGGAACCTCAACATCTCACATCCCTACGGGCCTTCACGGCCTGTTACAGGTATACCTTTACTTAATTTAATTACTAGAAGCTTATAGTACGAAATGCATATGGGATATTGGTGGGAAATCCTGAAGGAAGGAGACCACTGGGAAGACCAAGGCGTAGGTGGGTTTGCAATATTAAAATGGATCTCAGAGAGAGAGGATGGGATGGTATGGACTGGATTGTTTTGGCTCAGGATAGGGACCGCTGGAGGGCTCTTGTGAACAGTAATGAACTTTCGGGTTGCATAAAATGCTGGGACGTTCTTGAGTAGCTGCACAATTGGCGGCTCTTCAAGAAGGGCTCAGCTTCATGAGTGATCGAGTGAGCTTATATTACATATATGTTTTTATAGACCTTACCTATCGGGGTAGAACACGAAAGTTCTACACTCAAAATATGAAAGCCAAGCTTTCGATGCGGTTATGAACCAGTTTCATCTCCTTATCTTCGTAAATTATTTTCAGAGCCTCAAGTTTAATTGTTATAGTCTTAACTCGGTTTTCTAAGTGGACGTCATCCAAAAGGTTTCCCATTCCTCAAATTCTGTATCCAATCCTTGGATAAACCCCCGGCCTGTAACCCTATGCAGTCAGGATAAATGGAGAAGTGTTTCGTTGTGTAATATCCCAGATTTCCAATTTCATTCTTAGATCCAACGTTTTCCGGATAACTTTTAACTCCCCCCCCCAAAAATGTATACCATTCTTTCCCATCAGAGTAACTAAACCCATTTCAGTTTTGCTGAGGGTGAGTCTGAGTTGTTTCCTGGTTTTAATTTGATATAGAGCGGATGGATTTGCATTTTTCGTTTATTTTTTGTGCGTTATTTCAAGACGCAGTCAGTAGCTAGACTGTAGTGCTAGCTCGTTGGTTCATTAGATGAATGACAAAATGATTTTGAAGCAAGCTGCAGTGGTTTACTCGAGGCGCTATCCTGGAAATTTCCTGGAGAGAATGTGGAACCAAGACGAAGTCGCAGTCGCAAAGTGAATCTGGCTCTGACGCGCGCGCGCGCGCGCACACACACACACACACACACACACACACCCTTCTTGTGACCCTAGCCCTACCTTGCTGCTGATTCACCATCGTTTAATAACCCAAGATTTCAGGTATTATGGACGTTTCAGGTTCTAGAATCTTGGTGATTCTTCTATCAGTTTTTAGGCCCCAACTGAACCCATTCCATGCAGTTGGATTATCATCAGTAAACAACCAACGATCCAATACGTAGTAACAACAATCTTCCTGATTTTTAGAATTATAAACATATTTGTTTCATTGTTGTCAGTGGTTCTTCAATTGTCAGTTTCTTGGCTTCAACTGGCGCTTGTCTCTTCTTTTAATCATCAGTTTTAAGTACCTGACTGGTGCTTTTTTTAACAGGTAATAAGGTTTCATTAAACGTGAGGAATTTATTGGCTCTCTGAGCGACTATTAGCTTCTGAAGAAGGGCTCTTCTGCATGGAGTTAATTACGTTGTTCGCGTGTTGGCAGGGACCTACAAGCCAGATTCTTTCTACGCTCAGGACTTCTTATATATCGCGCGGGTTACCACTTAAAGTAATCATGTTAGTGTCATTATGATGAACCGTGTGTAAGGTAATGATTTATTAGAGGGATGACGAAGAAGTCTCCATTTGTGCCACATAACGGAAAATTACTTTCATGAAATTGAGGGTTACTAAACGTGTAACCTTCTTGTTCTGTTGAGTAACGGGTTTGGAAGTCACGATTTGCGAAACTATAAGCCCTTGTGTATTTCCAAACGGAACCACCACGACAGTTCAGATTGTGAACTGTGACATCGTGTAGTGTTGTAGGCGGTCACCAACATTTCGAAGGAAGCTGCTACTTCTATCTTCAGGGTCGAAGTGATGCCTATCCATTGAGATTGCCAAACACTTGTAAGAACTGACGATGATATAGCATTTTAAAACCTGTAATTCGATTGGGGAAACAAGGAATACGTGAAGAATTTCTGCGACGAAATATTTTGGGAAAATATAACTTGCAGTAAGGAGAAAGGTGAAGGGCCAATATTAATATGAAATTTAGTTATCTAGTTTTTTAAATTATGAACTTGACTGATCTAGTTCAGATTGTTTTCTAGTGGTGAGACCTTTTATCTGTCAGTGGTCGTCGAACTTTGGCTGCCTTTATATAAAAATATGCCGATATGATGAATAAATAGACGTGGACAACCTATAAGAGATACTCATCCAGCCTGGTATTTGGCTTTCCCCTATCTCTCTATGGCTGTGCAGCCCTTGTGGACCTTTGCCACTTTTTCAGCTTCTTAATCCTATACACAGTCGGTAAGACTCCTTAGATGGGGGATGAGCCCGTCACAAGGCCGCTACCTACATACAGAACAACACAAACAGAATAAACGCATACACAGACATGCATGCCTTGAGTGGGATTGGAACCCACGATCCCAGTATTCGAGCGGGCGAAGATGGTTCATACCTTAAACCCCGCGGCCACTGTGATCGGCTTGGCCTTCTCCGGGCCGTAAAAAGAATCGTGTAACGGAGAGGCAGTCATGGGGAGGGAATTGAAATATATACAAATACTTTGGTGTGGAAGTCTAAAGAGGAGAGGCCACTTAGGGCAGCCAAGTATAAATAAGAGGATACTTTTGGCTAAATAGTTAATATGTTCATTATTTAGGGACATTTTCAACCGATTATTATTATTATTATTATTGTTGGAGGGGGTGGGTTTCCCCATGCACCGCGACCAGTTGTTGATCTATTGTACGTCCCCGTTTGATATTCTACCAATTTCCACACCCTACCGGTACTGGTGCATCTATCAGCCCCGTTGAGCCAATGAGGTCGGCCCTCGGTACCTTGATACATCCCCCATCTACCAGAGGCATCGGAAACTACTTGGGCGGGAAATTTTTGCCTAATTTAGCTCAGAGGTCTCCTAGAGACATGAGGTTCTTTTACGTGCCGTAAATCTACGACACGGGACACACGGCTTGAAGTCCCTCCCAGAGGACTTGTTCCC